GTCATGATCATAAGTAAAACTAAGCATTAACCCAAAACAAAATAATTGGGAATGGCCTATTTCCTTCTTGCTCTACTCCCCTTAATCCTCCAGTGATCTATTTATACAGATGGCTAAAGCTGCAGTGATCTGAAATGGGAAATTGACTGTCACCATGCAGCATTGATTCCTATGTACATACCAACCAAGAATGGATACTTTGATGTTTTGTCAGATTTGGGTAAATGTGTTGGACTGAGAACCTTTTACCACCTCCCTTGCATTTTAGTTGAGCTCTCTGGGGAGGAAGTGTGGGTTTGTAAACAGTGACTATTATGGCTAATAATGCAAGACTCTTTGTTAAATCGAATTGAGTTCTCTCAGTCACTTGTGTGTTTATCTAAAAATAAATATGCTTAAATTCACCTTCATCCCTGCTGTGCGCCAACAGCTTAGTGGTAGAATCCCTGACTGACGCCAATTCAGTCAGGTTTCGATCCTAGTTAGAGGCAACCAGACGTCTAGCCACACTGATGAGCTGTGATACAGCAAAACATTCTGTCTGTGGATGACACTATATATATATATATATATATATGTGTGTGTGTGTGTGTGTGTGTGTAAGTGGTTAGAATATTCACTTTCTAACCATGATACATGGGTTCAAATCTCACCATAGTCAATTTGTCATGGAGGTGACTCATAGGCCTAGGGAGGTTTGAGTCTACTTGTCTTGTTCAAATTCCTTTTTGAAAACTGCTGATCACCACCAGCACTCTCCCTCAGAAACTGTAATTTAGGTTTACTTAACATAGTTGCAGTGTAAACCACAGGTAGCCTCTGTTGATGTTGAACAAACACAAATGTGTCTGAACATGCACCTGAAGCAGGGATTGGCTATTCAAATTAGTTATCCACACGAGCAAACTAGTGTGCTCAAAAATCAGTAGCCAGCTATTATATCATCCTCCAGCTTTAATAAGAAGTATACCAAAAATAATATGTAAAAGAATTACAGATAATTTTTCAAGAAAATTTAAAACAAGAAAATTTTTTAAAAAATTAAAAAAGAAAATTCAATGAAGTAAAAGAAAAATAAACCAAAACAAAATTAGAATATATACCAAAACCAGAAAATAAAAATAGAAAAATAATTTGTTTTAATTTTCTATAGAATATTGCTTGGTATCTCCATCTGGGGATCTAACCAAAGATTTGGTATTTTTTGCCCCATACAAAGACACCAGCTTCTTCAACATCAAAGCAGGAGTCCTTCAAAGTGAGACCCTTGCATCTTTTCTCTTTGTTATCACCCTTGACTACATATTGAGAACTTCCTTCAACAAACATTATCATCTAGGTTTTACTTTATCACCAAGACTCTTAAGTTGATGAACTGCAAAAAAAATTGACAGATGTTGATTATACAGATAACCTATCACTGCAAACATCATTACCATTGCCACAGTTCTCATACATCATTTAGAAAATGTTGCCAAAAATGTTGAACTCTATGTCAATGCCTCTAAAACTTAATTCAGAGGCTTCAACCAACAAACTGTCTCAGGCAAATCAATAAATTTTGTTGATTCTTTTACATACCTAAGAAGAGAAATAAATTCTATTGAAAAGGATGTGAAAATTCACATAGTCAAATTCTGGGCTGCCAAGAATAAAATGGATGTAATATGGAAATTTGATCTACTAGACAACCTCAAATTCTTTCAAGCCACTGTAATGCTTGGGCATTAACTAAAACTATAATGACTAAACTTAATGGAACCTAAACTCAGATTCTGAGAGCTATACTTAAGATTTCTTGGAGACAACATTTAACTAAATCACAGATCTATGGCCTCATCCCTGATATTTATACAATCTTACATGAATGCAGAATGCACTGTGCAGGACACTGCTAGTGAAAAAAACTGAGAACTTGTGAGTGAACTACTGCTCTGGACACCTAGCCAATGAGCAAGATAGGTTGGTCACCAACAACCCCTTACATTGACCAAATATGTTATGACACAGAATGTCACCCTGATTGACACAGGAAGCACAGAAAAATTTCTTAATGCAAGCATTGTGAAACTAAATTTGTGGAAAATATACCAGTTCCTAAACAAAATGGTGATAACTAGTTCATTTCTTTACTCGGAAATCAACTAAACAGTATCCAAGTATCTGTATGGAAAGAAATGAACTAGTTACTATACGAATGAGTAAGATGTCTACTAATGAAAAATCTGTACCACAACCTAATATTAGGGTACAAATTCTTATGCCAACACTCATTAGTAGAAATACTCTTCAGAGACTGTAAGCCACTCTTTAAAATTTGTGGAATAGCAGCTATGAGAAATTCTTTAAGATTTTGTCATGTTCTGCTCAATTTTTTACTGCAATTCTTATTCCAACATTCATTAATACAAATACCCTTCAGAGATTGTAAGCCATACTTTAAAGTTTGTGGGATAGCAGCTACGAGAATACTATATCCAGCTCACTTCAACAATATAACACCAGATTGTAAACCAGTAGCTACTAAATCTAGGTGAAAAACTGAGGAGAATAAATTATTTATACAAATTGAAATTACTTGTATGTTGAATGAAGGAATAATTGAACCCAGCCATTTGCCATGGAGAGTCCATACCTTCATAGTTTCCTATGAGAACAGAAAAAAAGCAAATGGTAATCAACTATTCCCAAACAATAAACCAATTTACATTGCTGGATGCTTACCCTCTGCCAAAAGTAGTCAATATGATAGCGAAAATAGCCAAAAACAGTCTATTTGGTAACCTGGACATTAAAAGTGCCTACCATCAGGTAGCTATAAGGCCCAGTGATAAACCCTGTATGGTCTTAGAGTCCAGCAACAAACTCTATCAATTTCACAGAATACTGTTTGGTGTGACTGACAGGGTAGCTAGATTTCAGTGAGTGATAGACCAGATAATATCAAAAGAGAATCTGCAAGGCACCTATGCTTACATCGATAATGTAGCTATTTGCAGTAAAAAATTGAGCAGAACATGACAAAATCTTAAATTATTCATGGCAGCTGTTAAAAAATACAAGGTTAGGCTTAACCAAGACAAATGTTATTTTAGACATAAAAATATAAAATTACTCAGGTTCATTATACGTAACAACATAAAACCCGATCCAGAATGTTTGAATCCATTACTCAGCATACCAGTCCCAAAAGATTTACCTGCCCAGCACTGTGCATTAGGAATGTTTGCATTCTATGCACATTGAATTTCATCTTTTTCAGAAAAAAAATCCACCCTCTAGCAACAGTATCTCCCATTGCAGAAAAAGCATTTAATGAGTTAGAGGAGCATAGCAAAAGCAGCCATTATTATGCCTGATCATACACTACCCCTGGTATTAAAGTCAGATGCTACAAAATGCATCATAGCCATCTTTTTAACACAGTCAGGGTGACCCATAGCCTTTTTTTCCAGAACCCTGTCTAAATTGGAGTGTAGGCATTCTGCAATAGAGAAAGAAGCCTTTGCTATTTGTTGAATCATTGAGAAAATTGTGGCATTATTTGATTGGGCAACATTTTAAACTAATTTCAGACCAAAAATCAGTCTCATTCATGGTCAACCTGAAAACAAAAGCCAAATAAAAAATGTGAAAATAGCCAGGTGGAAAATGGAACTCTCATGTTACTCGTTCGACATAATGTACCACGCCAGTAAAGAAAATGCAGCTGTGAATGCCCTCTCTTGTGTATGTTTGCTCAGCTGCTTTGCTAAGAAGAGTTAAAGAAACCACATAGATAGTTATGCCACCTAGGAGTTACATGTATGGTCCACAACATGAAAATCAAAAACCTTCCCTATTCAGTAGAGGATGTGAAAGAAATCACCAAATCATGTAAAACTTGTGCTGAAAATAAACCTAGGTTTTACTGTTCTAACACCAGCAAGGTCATAAAAGTCATACAACCCTATGAAAGAATTGCATTGGATTTTAAAATACCATTTCCGTTAAAAACTCCGAACAAATATATGCTGAAATAATTGACGAATATTCATAGTTTCCTTTCGCAATGCCCTGCCCCAATGTATTCTCTACAATGGTCATACAAGCACTTTGCTCAGCTTTTGCCATCTTCAGGCTACCTACATATATTCTTTCAGATGGCAGAGCTTCATTTATGTTCAAACACATACAACGGTTCCTACAAGAGCAATGAGTAACCATAAGTAGTGCAAGAGGTATAATGGAATAATTTGGAAAACTATTCTACTAGCAGCTGTTGATAAAGGAGTAGCTTTAGAGAATTGGGAATAACTAATCCCAGAGGTCCTGCATGCAATTAGAAGATTTCTATGCACCACCACTAATGCAACACCCCATGAATGATTCCTCCCATTTCCTAGAAGTTTGACTGGAGCATCCCTACCATCTTGGCTCTCAAAACCAGGAGTAATATTACTAAAAAGACACATGCAACTGAATAAGAATGAACCACTGGTGGATCAAGTGAAGCTTCGAGATGCCAACCCTCAATATGAGCGTGCCTGTTACTCTGGCAGATAGGAAGACACAGTCTCACTAAGGAACTTAGCTCTTAAGTGAGGGCTGTCCTCAGGATATTTTGACTGACTACAAAGGAACATATTGTGACCAAGTAAATGGTTAAAGAAATAACAAGTGTTACAGATATATATTAATCAGTAATTACAACAGAAGAGTGAGTGTGTGTCAGAAGCCCCAGCGTTCAATCTATTTGACTGTTCCTCCAAAGCCTTCTCTCCTACTAATCTTATAGTAGGCAGAAGAGTCCAACATAGACATTTTAGAGGGAGGGCACCACAACAGAATAGAAACATGGTCTCCTTATTAAGATTACAAGGAATCCTTGAGCTTTGGTCCCTCAAGTGGTGATGAATGGGTTCACAGAAGAGATCCCACCCACCTATCAATACTTTAGAGGATGAGCAAGCCACTCATAGAAGTTTATGAAAATGCAGCAGGATTAAATCCAGTTCTACCGAGAAAGAGGAAGAATTTCATCATGCCATTGGCAATCTGCCACAGCCTTACAGAAAGCAAAGGATGCCTGCTCAATTCAGGAACTTCTTCCCTCTGTAAGAATAAGGCAGGGAAGAATGTGGTATGAGCCATCTCCCCCATTAATGGATCTGTCCTGAAAGCATATATTCAGGAGTACTCTGCTGATATGCAGAGTATATCAAAGCTTACTGATAAGCAATACATATTGTTTAGAACAATTCCACTTCAGGTTTGATTTAACCATTTTCTTTTTAATTTTTAAAATTTTTATGCTCATGTATGTTGGCCTGGGAAAGAAGTATTTCTTTTAGGAAAGAAGATATTTGAAAAATCCATGGATAACTCACTTAGGAAGTTTGCCTTTTTGCAGTCAACATAGTTGTGTGTTTTGGAAAGTATTTTACCTCACTTGGGTTGATCTCTCTTTATGGCATGAGTGCCCAAATGTTTTCTTTGACATAGTGTGAGTAAGGGAATGTACCATATGTGCTAGCTGTGAGAACTTCTACAAGTGGCTTTTCATCCATTCTTATATAGATTGGTGATAGGCTTCAAATGGAAGCCTAAATTTAATTTTTTTTTTGTCATGTTATTGGTTGAGAAAAGCCAAGAGTGCTTTTTACAATATCTGTATGGGGGGCTGGGGGTGATGCCAAGTCTGATTAAAAAGTGTCTATTTTTAAACTTGCTGAAATTGTAGTTGTAGAGAGAATTTGAGAGAAACTTATAGACAAATATTTTCATAGTAGAGAGAAACTTATAGGCAAATCCATATATTACACACATTAGACAAAGTATAAAAAATAAAAAATATATAAAAATGAAAATTAGAGTTGCATGTATAATATTGAAAAAATAATAAAACACATAGCAAAATACTAAATAATAACACTAACAAATCTATGGGTGTAGAATCAAAACCCAATGTCCAATAAAGAGAAATTGCAGGGAGGAAAATGAGTTATATGAGGTGATAATGACAACAAAGGTGAACCCAGTGGATGAGAGGATTTGCATCAGAGCAACTGGGAATTAATTAAGATATGCAAACCATTTGCTATCATTAAAAAATGAAAGATATAGAAATAACACCATTCTGTCAAAACACATATGGGAACTAAAAATGAAAAGGAAAACAGTATTAGAATGGGATATAATAAAAAAGATAAAGAAATCAAAAGAAAGAAAATGCAATCCATTTATGGAGGAAAAGATGAACATCATAGAATTGAAGAATGTGATTGGATTAATAAACAAAAGGAATGAAATTATTTCAAACTATCGGCATGCTGACACATTCCTTTTGAGAAATATGAAAAAGAAATGTAGAGCTCAGGAAGATCCAGAGATATCAAACACCCATTTTGAAAATCACACTGAAATGAATAAAACTGTCTATTAATGAGTAAATAAACAAAAAATAATGAAAAAAAAAAATGTTATTTTTTTGCGTGTTATATTTTTAACCTTTATCACTCTGTATGTGACTTCATTTGCTGTACAAAAAGTTTACCATGTCATTTAAGGTGACTGATCTCTGAAGAATAGTGTGTTTGAATTTCATAATTGTGTTGTCATATCCTGGTATGAAAAGAAAAGGAAAATACAAACTATATATGTGTGTGTGAAGTGGGTGATATGTTTTTTTGCATTGTTGAATTAACAATATAGTCATTATTGTTCAAACTGGATCTCTGGAAATTCCTGTTCAATTCAAGTAATTTATATATCTGAATGATACAAAAGCAAAGTGAAATATTCATGTTTCCAAATAATTGTTTTCCCTATTTACACATTTATTATTGACCAACAAGATGTCCAGCAACTAAACCACAATGTTTGTGAAGAAAAACTTCAAATCAAAAATCTGTATAAATTAAGATGCTGTAAAATGAACAAATTAAACAGCTTCAAATTATAATGGACAGATTATGAGAACAGATTCTATTAATTATTTTCAGACAAAATAAAACACATTTTTATTGAGAATTATTAATTATATCCCTACTGAGTGGATACCAAATTAAAATAAAATTAACACAACATTTAAAACATATATTAAATAATTAATTTGTAAAGTTTCAACTTTAAGTATATGTAATTATTAAGTTATTACAAATTTTATACTCTTCAATTAACACACTTTCAAATTGAGCTGAGCATTTTTCTGTTAAATACTTGCACATTTTGTGTTTACTTGACACAAAATACATGAATATTCAACAGAAAAATGCTATGATATCTGTGCATCTATGACATTTGTGCATGAAGTATAAATAAAAGGACAACATAGTGAGTAGTTTGAATCCAGACAATCCATGCATGTGATAATATGGATAGCAGCTGAATGTAACAGTTCAAGTTGAAGTGATTAAGAAATTTTTCTCTGTCTAGTTTATTCCCTGTTGTATGAAAATTGTCTTCATAAAAAAGAGAATTAGAAAAAAAAGAAAAACAATTTTTGTAAAACATCTAAAAAATTTCCCAAATATAAAAAGTTTGGACTTACACTGCAGTGTATATCTTTATTCCTTACTGCACAATGGTACTAGAAGTTTTATAGGCATCTACAAAACTACTAGTACCATTAGTATAGTAATAAATAAAGATACTTTTTTTAATATATATTTTAGTTCTGCTCATTTACATAGAACTATATATATATATATATATATATATATATATATATATATATATATATATATATATATATATATTAATAGAAATCTTATAAGTATAAGAAACTATACTTGTTCAGAAAACCTTCAGTGTCTTGATTTGCAAATAATCAAACCAATACCAAAGAGAAAAAAAAGGTATAAAAAAAGAAAGAACCAAGAACATGTACGTTAGCCGAAAATAATCATCTAGAATGCAAGTCCAAAGCCCAAAGAAAAAACCCTGATATGAGTAAGCAAAATAACTAAATAAAGTGCTCAATACAGTAAGTAGAGCAGACCTAGTTAAACCTAGATTGCCAGACAAACCTACCAAGGTTTCACCTAAGCGGATCGTCAGGGAAAGCTGGCTAAAAAGGTAAAAAAGTAGGTGAAACCTTGGTAGGTTTATCTAACTATATATATATATATATATATATATATATAACCGCCCTTAAAGAAGCACTTACTAAAAGATAAAAACAAGACTCCCACCATCACAGAAGTTATCATAAAACTCATGGAACATATTCTTACATTGAATACTTTCAATTTCAATGGAAAACGCTACCTACAAGTAAGAGGATCTGCCATGGTCACCATTGCAGCTCCATTATATGCCACAATCTTTATGGGAAAATTTGAGGAGACCCATATTTATCCCCTAATTGGCAGCGACTGCATATTCTACGCAAGTTATATTGATGATATCTTCTTCATATACATGGGCAGTAAGGAGAAACTCACTGAATTCCTTATGACCCTAAACATGGTACATGACTCTATTAAGTTTAACCATGAAAAATCAACAAGATCGGTAACATTTTTAGACACCTGCATTCACATCGATAAAAACAGAAAATTACAACCGACACTACACATTAAATCACCAACACCCACAACTATTCACACTTTAAGTCTTCCCACCCTAAACACCTCAAGGAGAACCTTCCCTATTGACAAGAACTTACACTCAGAAGGTTATCTTCCAACAATGAAGAACTAAATAAACACACTCAAAATCTCGAGTATCAATTCATAACACATGACTATAAACAACACCTAATCAGGGAGCAAATAAATAAAGCAATTTCCACACCTAGGGAAGAAACCCTAATGTATAAAATTAAAAATAAATCCAGACACATCCCTCTAGATATCACTTTCAATATCACTCTTCCTCCACTATCTCAGATAATCAAAAGTCGCTGGGAAAATACTACATCTCAAACCAGACCTAAAAATTTTGTTTGAGGAATCCATCCTTCTAGCATATCGCAGACCTAAGGACCTTAAGGAAATTATAGATAGTAACCAAATTTCAGATGATAAGGTAATCTGTAATAGACCAAAAATAAAAACAACAGGATTTTCCCAACTATGTAACAACAAAAGGTGTTTATGCTGTAATGACATTAGAAACACCAATTTGTTCACTATCCCAGTCATTAAATCTGCTTTCAAAATCTACCACAACTGTAGAAGTCATAACATAATTTACCTGTTAGAATGCACACTATGCCAGAAACAATATGTGGGAAAATCTGAATGGCCTCTTCACTACAGAATTAATAATTATCAGAATTGGATCAAGTTGGATCCCCATGAAAGATTATTACCTGTAGAACAACATTTATGCCTAAAAAAACAGGATTTTAAAAGCCATGCCAAATTCATTATAATTGAAAAAGTAGAAATAGACAGAAAAAATAACATTAGAAAAATTCTAGAGGAACATGAAGGCAAATGGATTTTACACCTCAGAACACTTCTCCAGATGGGCTAACCACAAATTTAACAACATAGATAGAATTAATATATAACCCCATAAATCAAGCCCTAACCACATTTCTCACCCACACAAGACAGACATGCTTGCCAAGGTGTTGAGGTCTCACACTTATACACGCACCCATACTAATATATACACTTACACACTTCATACAGCAACCAATAAAACTGTCAAAATGACAAAGGAGGGAATTCTGAATCTCCCCAGCCGCTATCATAAAAATAGCTTAAAAGTGGCTGTTTGACCAACACAAGGACTGACCAAAATTAACGATAAAAAAACAAATTAAAACTACAGATAAAGTTCATTTTCTTCAGAAAGTCATTCATTCCTGTAGTTCACTGCTGCTAATAAACAGGAATTTTTTTCTCTTGATGATTGCCATGTTGGCCGAAACTAGTCAAGAAATATAATTGAAATAATAAAACAAAAAAATATTAATAAAGTGCCCAGTGCGTCTGAATTTAAATTTTTTATTGTTCAATATATATATATATATATAAGTGGACATTGAGGTTAACATCCAGAGGCAACAGACTGTTTCATACTTAAATGCAATTGTCATGGCTTGATGATTGTGTTTAAACATGAAACAGACTGTCACCACTAGGTGTTGACTTTAAGTGTCCACAAGATATATATGTATGTATTTGAACACTTACAGGTGCTTT